ACCATTCCCTGCAGTGCCTCCTGTCAAACCACAGTAGCCTTGTTCCTAAAACAGGCCTGAGAAAGTCCACCTTAGGGCCTTTGCACAGACTTTCCCTGATATGTTCTTCCCACTGGCATACTCGTGGCTAATCCCCACCCCTCCTTCAAGGCCTTATCCAAATGCTCCCTTCTCATTCTAAATTCCAAATTGCAACCTTCCACCCGTTAGCAATCTTTACTCTCCGTCCTTGCTCTGTTTTCTTTCCATTGCATTTATCACTGTGGCTGTCATAAAAATGTGCCTCCCAGACATCCAACTACAGGAGCATAACTGATAAAGGGTCCCAGCTGTTGCATCCTGAAATCCTTCCCTGCATTTGCATCAAGACCCTGCCTCTCAGTGGCTACTCCCAGCCAACGGGTGAGTATGGCAGAAATCCTAGAACAGGCTCATTCCTGGCAGACATGGGCCCTCTCTGGTAGCTGACTTTGGCTCCAGGATTTTTTTTTTTTTTAAGATTTTTTTTATTTAGGAACGCCTGGGTGGTTCAATCACTTAGGCATCTGCCTTCGGCTCAGGTCATGATCCCAGAGTCCTGGGATCGAGTCGCACATCGGGCTCCTTGTTCAGCTGGGAGCCTGCTTCTCCCTCTGCCTGTCACTCTCCCTGCTTGTGCTCTCTCTCTCTCTGACAAATAAATAATTTAAATCTTTTTTAAATTTTATTTATTATTTATTTATTTTAGAGAGAGAGAGAGAGTGAGCACGTGAGCAGGGGGACGGGCAGAGAGAGAGGGAGAGAGAAACTCAAGCAGACTGGGCGCGGAGTGTGGAGTCTGACATGGGGCTCAGTCTCACGCCCCTGAGCCCATGACCTGAGCTGAAATCAAGAATCGGCCACTAAACTGCCTGAGCCACCCAGACACCCTGGCTGCAGGACTTTTGATGGCCTTGCCAGTCTGGCCGAGGCTGCACTGCAGATCAGGCTGTTCCCACGCCACTTTCTCTTCCTCTCTCCCTCACTTGAGCCAGACTCGTGCCACAGTCTGACCACTCTCCCAGACTCCCGGCTCCAACCCTCTTTGCCTACCTCCCCCATCGTCTCTCATAGAGTCATTCTCTTAATAAAATTTAATACTCCTAACCTGTCTTGCTAATTGTTTACTCAGAAGACTCCAACCAACAGAATCATCTTCTCACCTACCCTATTTTGCTTGCTTACTATGTTTATCTTTCATTGCCTACCAAAAGAGAAGGTCCAGAGAGCAGGAATTTTGGTCATCCTTGTGTCCCAAACACCTAGCACAGTGTGTGACACATCATAGGTACTCAATAAATATGTGCAGAATAAATGAATAACAAATGCCTTTAAAATATTAGCAATTATTAGTATTATCAACTAAATAAATGAATAAACACAGGATGATACCAATCAGTTGTCACAACTCTGCTCCCTCCTAAATTCCCTGGTCTTCTTATTTTATCGAATCCTCCCCTACACTAGAAAACCTTTGAGTTTTCCCATAGCAGAAATGAGATTTAAGTGGTAAATTGTTTTTAGGAAAAGATCCAGACTAATAATTGGATAACTGCCCATCTGTTCTGGGCTGCAAATATGCAATGCTGACTGAGATATTTATCACTACTTCTCTCTTGTATTTAATTTCACCCAGGACCTACATAAACAAAATCAAAAATTCTGAAGGTTTGATTTTTTTTTAAGCATGAGTATCCATCCAATAGTAACCAAACTTGGCCCATGCCTAATCAATTCTCCAACGCTCTAGTTTCCCAAACCGTCTCTTTTGAGTATGTATGAACACGGACAAACTATTCTCAAGTAGGATTTCAGACTCTTGAAACTGGTGGGTTTCACTCTGTGGCTAGGTAGCTCTACATGACAATATGGAAAAATCTTTTCTCTCTAGGGCCACTAAGTTACTCTAGAGATTCATAAGGAGTTTTGCCACAGGGGGTTGCTTTCAGATGTAAGTGTTCCGGGACCTAGATGGAGGAGGAGGCTGGGGGTCCAACTCTTTCTCGTAAAGATTGGTATAGCCTTCAGCCCCTTTTTTGGGCAGGTCTTGATGAATGGCTGTTATAAAGTCAGTCCGCCAATCCTGGGTTTGCCATTTTTAGCTATGTGGCAAATTACAGCTCTGAGCCTCAGTTTCCTCATTTGTAAAATAGGGATAATAGCAGCACCTTGTACGATAAGTAGTATGGAGAACATTTGTCTACAGACAGTACTCAACAAATATTAGCTATTATTATTATGATCAATAATGTGAAGGGAATTAAACCATATGGTCACTGTTTGGCTTGTCCTTTTAACCTGTTCAGCTGAGCTGATCTAAAGGTGCTTGCTAGCATCCAAAAATGTAACAACGAGGTAGACAGTAACTACGGTTTACTACATCAAAATTTAATTAAAGAAATCATAAGGGAAAGAAAACAAAATCACTAGCAAAGCTTCCAGCCTCTGCTAAGAGTTTCCCTGGGCTTGGCTTTCTTTTTTGAAAGGACAAGGGAACACCCACACAATGTCAGACCGCATGAGTTACAGAACGTCTGCTCACACTTTCAAAGGCTCGCTCCTTTCTCTTGCACCACTGGTGAGGTCAAAATGGGCACCTTCCTGAAAGCCGAGAGTGCCATTTCTGAATAAGGTCCAAGAAAGGACGGCGTCCTGTGGAAATCCAAGACAAGAAACAACCAAGGGTGGTACTTGACGTTTAAATCGCACCCACCGCCGCTCGGTGGGCCAAGCGCCGCGTTAACACCTTTCATTTCTCCATGACCTCAAGATTCCAAAGTTTGAAAGCAACTGCTCAAGTGGGAAGAGGAGGGAGAGGGAAGGACGCCCTGGGGTAAATCTACCACTATACGAAGTTCTAAGATCACCCCAGCATTTATTATGATTGTCTGAAGCCAGTCAGAGGAAGAAAGGCAAGCGAGTGGCTTGCCCCGGCCAGTCCAGGCGAGGCCCTGTCTTTGTAAACTCAGGAGGAGGGTGCCGGTAAGCTTTGTACAAACACACACAGACCCACGCACACCCAGAGACGGCTGGCTGTCGCTGGAGCCGAGGCTGATGACACACTCAGCTCCCGGGCTCGCCGTGCCACTCCTGGAAAATAATGAGTTGGCTAAGGAACAGTTAATGAGAAAATGTGCCTCGCTAACTGTGCACATTACAACAAAGAGCTGGCAGCTCCTGAAGGAAGAGGGCTGGTGCGGCTGCCGTTCCAACTTGTCAGTCAGCTCTCGCCAGCAGCCCCAGGGTCTGCCTCCCCGGCACACTCTCATTGCATGTGTCTGTCTGGCCTGCTCTGCACCTCTGCTCAGAGGCGCTCCTGGCGCGCCGGGGATTTCTGCCTTCCTGCCCTGGTGCGAAGGGCTTCTCCTCGGTCACCCCTCGCCTCTGCCCCAGGACGCTCCCGCTTTATGGTAGCCTTGGACTTCCTGCACCCGTCTGCCTGCCCTTGACTTCTAGAATGGAAGAAGCCGAGCTGGTGAAGGAAAGACTTCAGGCCATCACAGTAAGTCTGCGTCCAGTTATAACCCAAGGAGGTGGTTGCTTAGAGGAACGGCAGACAGGTTGCAGCTGCCCCTGCCCCCGAGCCCCTGTGAGTGGAAAAACAGAACTGTCACCCTTCACGGCGCTCTCTTAACCCTTGTGACCCTCTGTCATTCTCGGGCTTCGGAACCTGAGGGCAGGGCGATGTTCTTTATTTTCGCAAAAAAACTGTGCCGGCGTTTTAAAGAGCACTCAGAAGCTTGGGAGGCAGTTTGGTTCACTGTCATTCACCTTCTCAGTGCCTTAAAAAAGCAGTTTCTCCTTCGATTGGTGTTTGCCAGACATGAGATTAAAACTTAGAGACTTTTTAAAACAAGGAATATACCTAAGAGTTAAACTCTTTTAAATGGGGGAGAGAGGAAGAGATAAAACAACTTGAAACTTTTTATTTGCAGTGTGGTAGTATGTTCCAGAGAGCCTAACAGAATTAAAATGAATGTCGTTGTATTAAACTAAGCATTAAACAAGAGAAAAGTAGGTAAAAGCACGTATCAGATTAATTCTTAGATATCAGTTTTCAGCAGAGTCACAAACTGAGTAAGATCCTGATAAAGGAATGCAATGCATGCAATGCAATGGGTTTGGAAAATATCTCGTTAATACCGGGAAGGAAAATAGTGCATTTTTTACGTTTGTTCTGGGAAAGAATTACAGCAAGAAATAAACTACTTTCCTTAAGTGATCCGGCTTTTTTTTTTTTTTTTAATTTTCTAAAATCCTGTATTTGGCAGTAACCTGGAAATCTGTGGCACAGTCACTTATGATTAGCTACAATTTTTTGATATAATTTTCTAAAAACTTGGAAATCCACATCCCAATTTCTCAGCATTTTCTGCCACTGAAATTAGCTGTCAGGAAGAAATGAGTACTTTTTAAAAACTGATGCTAAATCAGGGTGGGTAGGAGGATATTATTCTCTGCTCTTCTCATTCCCATAGCATAAATAATAATGCTAATCCAAATTTAGAATTTTTACTAAATGGATACAATGTCTTAGTTCCACCCAAAAAGGATTCAAGAAGTTGAAACATTTTCTCAGCCAATAGTGAGGAACCAGAAGTCCAGACGTCCACCAATAAGGTTGGCACTTCTCCATAAGACAATGCTTTTGAAATGTTTAACTTCTAATTAGTACATTTTCCTTTCTTCAGAAAACTTTGCTTTAGAACTATTGTTTGTTTTGTTTTGTTCTTTTTTTTTTTTTTTTTGTCTTTAAACTCAGCCACCGTTTCAGCTGTCGGGCTTTAAGGGACAGGAACTGGGCCCTGCTCTGTTGTTTTTGGCATGGGCTTTTTGCATTACAGCTGTTGTCTAAAGGTTACTTTATCACACTGTGTGAGTTTTGTGGGCACAAGCTCAGCCTTTGCTCCTACCTCCTAATTTACGAAACTAAATCATGTAGCTGGAGAAATACACAACAAGCCCGCTGTTCCCCATTGTACCTTCTCGAATTGTAGCACAGCCTTATTGAAGCCCTCAGTACCTCCAGTGCACCTTACAACTCCTCCGGAAGCAGCGCGTGGTCTGCAGCTCCGATGCGTACAGTTATTCAGGAAGACCAGGAATTTGCACTGAGGGTTCCAAATGCAAACAGAGGTAGAACAAGAGGCACCACGCCTTCCAAGCAGGCAAGAGAGTAAGCAGGTTCCTGAATATACTGGTGTGTGCTTTTTCTGATGAGTCACACACAAACGCATACACACACACACACACACACAACACAAACATCCCTACTTGTGAATTATTCCATTAGCCTGAACATATCCCATTAGAAGGAATTAAGCACATCTCCAAAGTAACTCTAGTCACGTACTCAAAGTAATCACAAAGTAACTCTACCTTGGAAGTAATATGTTATATGAAGGTTACAGGGGGGAAAGTTTATGGAATAAATTAACACCAGCCTCCACCTCACCAGGCGAAGCCCAGTCCCAATTTGTCACAACCTAGAGAGGAAAATGGACAATGGTATGTCCATGGAAACAACACATCCACTCACCTCCTGCTAGACACCCCAAGAGATGCCAGCTTTCTCCACCCTTGCTCTACCAGGAAGCCACCTCAGCACTGCCCCATCCCCCCCTGGGAGAATGAAAACATACAGTATCCAGAGAATCCGCTGGGACTGTTTCACTTTGGGAAATACTTAAAATCTTCAAAATCTCTGACCGAAACTAAAACTCAGACACAATTTTCTCATTTTAACTGTTTCCCTCCTGTTTCCTTTCACAGAAACAATGTTTGTATACTTCAGTAACAAACTCATAAGACTTTTCCAATGTACCCAACCCAGCAACTCACAGACTTTGTTAGGGAAAGGGGGAAAAAAAAAAAACACCTTTTTACACTCTCAGATCTATTTGATTTTTGTATTAAAATTTGTTCTTCCATTTCCTCGCTGTGAAACGAGATGATCTTCACTGTTGCATTTATCCCACCTGGTTTCAAGTGTCCAAACAGTCATTATTTCCACCAAATGTCTCTGCCTATAACTTGACAGAACCAAGTGCCCGTCCTCATGTTCCTCTAAAAAAAAAAAAAAAAAAAAAAAATAGATTAAACACAGTAAGTAGATGGAATGTGGCATTTAGGCTCTCGGATTGAGAGCTAATACTGTAACTGTGTCATTCATTTCTCCTCTCAGGAAACTGAATGTTAGATTGTCAGAAATCTTCTCAAAGACTCAAAGAGAATAAAGAAAAAAAATTTATGAAAGTACACAGAAACGATTGTTTAAAAGCCAGTATATCAGTTTGGGTATACCAAATATGGATTCTATTTTATACATGTACTCTCACATTCTTCCTTCATTACTTTGTCCATGTACCAACACTTTCGTCGCTGAATTAATCGTCAAAGTATCTCTCAGCCAAAGAGTTCAGTTTTCAGCTGTAACTCAAAAGCAGGACTGCTTCAAGCTGATTAGATGAAAAGTCTCCTGAGACTCTTTTCGAGTTAGTATGTATTTTAACAAATAGCCGGGTTTTATACAAAAGAAGAGCCGTTGACATAGACTAGTAATTTGAATTTCACTTTTAATATTACTGGGATAGACGACACCAATATTTCCAGCATCCTCAGGAAGAGTGAGATGAAGGACTGACAGTTATCCTGACGGAGCTCCTCTCTGGAAAGAAACTTGGCCCACAATAAAACCAGTGAAAAAACCCAGATGAAGTCCCCCCAGAAAGAGAAAGATCCCCTTAGGATTAGTAATATTCCATATGCTCTCGGCATCCTCCTCCGCGAGGAACGCATTATCTTATCTCCATTCCCACTATGACCTTAGAAAATCCAGTTCCTAAATAACATGGGGACACTCAGACTGGAAAGCTCCTAGACCTTAAACTGGCTAGAGATCATAAGAACAGCAGTTTGGTGCTGACCCCAGAAGAATTCTGAGAACGAGAATCAATTTTTCAGAGAAGAGAGCCAGCTGGGGAGTAAAGGGATAAGAATAAAGTCAACATTTTTATTCTCATCAAAGTTTATCTTTAATTGCTAGGAATTTGTGCTATCAACTCATTCCCTCATTCCTTTATTTAATTAATGGTGATTGAGCACCTACTGTGTGCCAGGCCTTATGTATTTAAATGAAAGGAAGTGAAATAAGGGAAATCAGGAGTAGGTGGGAGTGGGCCGTGAATCACAGTGGCATTGGCAGGATGGGCCTCACAGAGAGGGTGACATTTAAGCATAGATGTGAAAGAGGTGAGCTCTGTCAAAATTTAGACAACGGTACTAATCACACACAACAACAAGCACCTGCCGAGGACTGACTCCATTGGGAAGGGAGCCATATAAAGTCCTGACGCTGGAATTTGAGCAACAGAGCCAGATTTGCCGGCCAAAGCTGCTCGTGATGCAAAATAATAAGGAGCTCTCACATTTCCCCAGATCCACTCCCTATTTCTTTCCACTCCCAAAGAATTTTTTTCTAGACTTGTAAACATAGGAATTTGGGCGGCAGAAAATTCTTTGCATAAAACAGAAATCCATCTAATATGAAGACCAACATTAAAACAAGAACAAACACACACAGATTCTAGTTATTTCTTTAGCATGTGTAGCCTGTCACCGGACACCACACCTCATCCCGTTCCCGTTTCGTCGATAGCTGGGATCTTCTAGCAGTTAATAAGACAATAGATGGCCTCAAAGCCTGACCTGCTTCATAATTTATGGGGCCAGTACACAAGGAAAATATGCAGACCCCTGTTCAAAAAGCATTCAGAATATCAACGTGGCAACAGCGCAGCATTAAATGAAGGGCTGGGCCCTTCTCAGTGTGGCGTCAAGCATGTCTTCACAAGCCACTTGCCCAAGAAACCAGCCCTACTTCTATGTCCTAGGCCCGCCATATACGTTTCTCCCCCGTTCATTCTGCCAGTACAAATGGGAGAGTGAAAACGAGACCAAGCAGCCTGGATCTTCCTAAAGGTATACCCTCACGTGTGTTTGGATCATTACATCATTTAGAGTTCTAAGGACTTCTTAAAATAATAATGGCTAAAAAAAATGCATAAGGCACCATTGTTCGGAAGTACCTCATGGTTAAGCCAAAGTTACAGGAAGCACTTCTAATTTGTCCTGGGCATCGAAAGGCATTCACATAACAATGGTACATGGAGACGCGGAAATCTCCTAAATAAAGAAGTCTCGTGCTAGGATATTCAAACAATCAAGCCTCTGCCCAATTTTCCACAGTGCCATACTGAGATTGCCTGCTTCTCCCAGAGAGGGAAAGGTTTCTTCAAACAGAATGTTCTGTACCATGTTTCTTTGCCAAACATAATAGCCCACCCACAAAGGAGAGCATGTGATGAGGTATAATAATTTTGATAGTTATTAAGGAAACTGCTTTTTGATAACAGGGCGAGGTTTTTCCAGCGTGCTACAGAATGATAATGCTACTTTGCAAAGACCTCTCCTGACAAGGATCCCCAGGAACCTTCTGAATAGTACCAGATGGTTAAAAGACAAAAGCTGCTTCTTTACAAAACTTGGACTGAAATAAACAGAGTCTAAGCTCTGAAGTCTAACTAGAGTATAAACAAGTGCCGCAGAGTTCTGGCTAAAACTCAAACAGGGCTTCTACTCCCTCATCTCCAGTCTCAAACCGCCTCACTTCTCTTAAAATAAAATACAAATATTTTAACTTATTTCAGTGACACTGATGTCACTGGGGGAAGAGACTCCCTGAAAACTTACTGCCTCCACAAGTTCCCTCACCAGGAAACCTGTAGGATGTCCACCTTCCTAAGAGGCCATAGGAGCAGTTTGAGTGTGATCTATACTTATGGTTTTTTTCCCATAAAACCCCTCAGTGACTGAGTGGATTCAGTCAAGCCCTTGGAGACACGGAACCAGATTATTCTCTGAAGCTCTGAATGGAACTCAAAACTGGTTCCTGTCCTAAGCACCAAGTTTTCCATGTGTAATTGCGCCTGTGATTGACATAGGGGTGCAACGTGTTCAAATAAGCTACAACTGCTACTCAAAATCAACCTATGCTCACAGATCTAGAACATAAAGGACGTCTCTTAAGTGAAAGAATTCCAAGATTAATAACGATAACAGCACCTATTGTCACTGGAACTTGGGCTTTAAAAATAGACATATATATAAAACTTTCACATCCATATCTCATTTGTCCAAATATCTTATGAGTATTTGCGAAAGCAGATGTCACCATCCCCATTTTGTAGGTGGAAAACCTAACACCATAAAAAGTTAAGGGATTAGCTAAATACAACTTGAGTCAACTCTTCTGCTTGTCAGACTCTCTGACCACAACATCACAATAAATTCTAAGCAACATCAAAACCACAAACCTTGGGCGCCTGGGTGGCTCAGTTGGTTAAGCAACTGCCTTCGGCTCAGGTCATGATCCTGGAGTCCCGGGATCGAATCCCACGTGGGGCTCCCTGCTCAGCAGGGAGTCTGCCTCTCTCTCTGACCCTCCCCCCTCTCATTCTCTCTCTCAAATAAATAAATAAAATCTTTAAAAAAAAAAAAAAACACACACAAACCTCACTCCATTTAGAACTTCCCCATGGTTCACTCTTAATAGAGTTTGGCGTGGAGCAAAGAGAAGAATCTGTGGAGGTTCTGCTTCACTCAACCACATTTTCTAACCCAAACCAGTCCTTCAGCCCTTCCAGTCTCCTCCGCTTTCCCCAGTTCACGGGGAATAGAGGTGGGAAAAGAGAGAACATGATGCCATTTCAGAAGCATTTATAATTGCTTCAATAGGGCCAGGACGGCATCATTTCCCAGAGCATCCCATACTCTAACTAAGCTTTTGTGACCTTCTTCCCATCCCACTTCCATTACACAGTCTCTTCCCTCCAGTCAGGATTTCTTAAGGCAGGGATATCACTGCATCTCACACAGCTCCCCAGCACTGAGCGCAACACTAGCTGGAGCGCACACACACACACACACACACACACACCATTATGAATGAATGCCATCAAGCTGAAAGATTTTTTTCACTGAAGAAAATAACCAAGTTTACCATCACCCTTAATTTTGGGGGGTTTCATTTTGTGTTTGTTCTTTATCCTTGTTTTGCTTTGTTTTGTCACTATTCATTTGAACAAACAGGAAAGGACAGACAAAGGAATAAACAAGTAGCACACAAACTGAGTTTTATTTTGAGATGTCAGAATTTGTTGTCAGGCTAGGAAAGAAGACTAAAGTTACTGAATAAAATGAGGTTTAGAAAATGTGTGCTTTTTCATTCACCCCAAAAGCAGTAGTGATAACGACATCCAATTCCCATGGATAACTAAAAAAGAATGAGGGTGTTTCAGAAAGAGGATGCAGAAATAATCATAGAACCAGGAGAAAATCTAGAGATTTCCCATTCTAACAGAAGAAAACTTAGAGAATGTCCATATTCCCATTCTCGCTATGCCATGCTCCAAAGATGCTCACCCAACTTCTCCTCGAATACTTCCAGCATCAGGTGTATCAATACCTCACCCAAAACCCTCTTCCATTTGAGAACAGCCCTTGGTGTTGAGTTCAGAATCTAGTTTCCTTAAAATCCCACCCATTC